GGTCTTGCAACCTTCGCAATTGGCAGAACGGATTCTGCCAGCAGCACGCTTGTTGCCATCAACACCAAAGCAGAGGTCTGGGTGCTTGTGACGAGTCTCTTTCTGGAAGCATCATCATGTATCATGGAACTTCGGCCAACTCTGCTGCTCAGATTGAGTTAGGGGGCTTTTGCCCGTCAGTGGATGGCATGCTTGGACGAGGAGTGTATTTGTCCAGGGATATCAGCAAGGCCCAGCAGTACGGGGCCATCATCTTGATGTGCCAGGTCTCTGTTGGAAGAGTGGCGCGTATTGACCATCAAGGCCATCCCTTGCAAAAGAGCTGGAGTGCAAGTGGCTTCGATACAGCTTGGGTTCCACCCAGATTTTACATGGTGTCATGTGGCTTGGAGGAGGCTTGTATCTCTGATCCTGCCAAGATTCGAGTGCTGGATCGAGTGAGGGCATAATCACAAGAGACATGTCAAAGATTTGCAAGAGAACTGGAAGTTGAAAGGTGATGCGAAGATATTCAGTTTCAACTTCTTGGATCAATCAACTATGCAACGACTGCAACAACGGCTTTCCTGATTCCGTGACTAGTGTGCTGAGAGGGTGATGCTGTGGGGTGATGCCACCTGAGTTTCACACTAGGCAGTGATATCAGGAGCACGCAACAAGGCCACGTGGAAAAGTGATGCAGTGGCAGGGATCTTTCGCCTGTTCTCAACCCTGCTGGGGTCCGCGAATCTCTCAACTTGGGATAGAAGCATTCTGTGACTCATTGGCTTTTCACCAAGTTCCGGCCTCCACCACTGTCAGCATTCTCCAGGAGCCCCTCGTGCTCACCAGCCTGCCGGTCTTCAACGGCAAGGGCGCGGCGACAGCCCACGCTATCGGCGGCGAAGGGCGCCGGTGCGGCGAAAGGTGCTGGGCATTTCACGCCCAGAGCGCCTGGGTGGCAGAACCTTTTCAGCGAGAGAAAAGACAAGGAAACCACATGTCCATAGTTCATACCCCATGAACTTTAGAGAATGATACTCAGACGGTGAATCGACATCTATTGACTATTGACTATG